GCGTGTTGCGGGATGGGGTTTTTTTTTGGGTTGTTTTTGTTTTTCCTCTGGGCTGCTGATCTCTGCTTTTCTGTCCCGGTCCTTTCCCGTTCTTGCTCTGCTGCCTGGCACCTCGCGTGCCTTTGTTTCTTCTAGCCTCAGTTCTGCCCTGCTTTGATGAAGCTTCTGCAAAACAATTTGCAGTAGGTATCTTAACGGGCTGGGGCTAACAAAGAAAGAAACTCTGTTGGTAATTGCTCCGAGATCTTTTGAAATGCTACTGTATGTTTTCTTTCTCTTCCAGATTATTTATGCAAACCGGAGGACAACATTTACAACATAGACTTCACCAGGTTTAAGATCCGGGACCTTGAAACTGGAACAGTGCTGTTTGAAATTGCAAAGCCATCTGCTTCAGGTACGCCATGCTAACATTGCAGAGAGGCTGGAGAGCCTCGGAGAGCCAAGAACGTGCAATGCAGGACCCGTGTAAACCAAGAAGAAAGGTCCTTTGATATGTCCTGGTGACTAAGTTCCTCTCCTTTAAGCACAGGACTGAGCTTACCTCTGCTGAGAAACTTGTCATAAAAATGTGAAGTGATTATCGTGAGATGGGGGAGTGCTATCAACTGCAAATCTTCCCTCGTTGGCTGGCTACGGTACAGAGTTTCTTTCATGTGCTTTGGCAGTTGCGAGGGGGGATATCCTGTGAGATCGAGGGTGGTTTCAGCTCCGGAGCCACTAAGGCTGTGCCAACTGTCGTAGCAGATCTGTTCTTCATTGCTTAGTCCTAGTATGAGTTTCAGACCAGTTGCTAAACACCATACATTCACTGCCTACGTAATAGCCATCTTGTCCTGATACACCCGCTAGCCACTGTTACCTTACGTGTATGCTATTAGCATAATAACTCTGAGTTAACTCTGGTGCGTTTTCTAGAGCAAGACGAGGAGGATGAAGATGACAACAGTGAACTGGACACCAGTGCAGGCCGCTTTGTTCGTTACCAGTTCACCCCTGCGTTTCTCCGTCTTCGGACTGTTGGTGCAACGTGAGTATGAGTTCATAGAAGGGAGAATCAGATGTTTACAAAGTGTCACTTGACAGTTTGTAACAAAACTGAGTCAAAGACCAGAGAGAACCCATCTTACGCTACAAATATCAAAGTCTTTCTTTCTGGAATGATCTGTTAGATTCTTGTGTGGCCTCAAGTCCAAGGCTCTGTTCTTCCCAGTAGGAAGAGAGGTAGGTCGTCTTAGCTGGTTTTTTCTGCTTTTTGCATACAGAGTGGAGTTTACAGTGGGAGAAAAGCCAGTGTCAAACTTTCGAATGATTGAGAGACATTACTTCCGAGATCGCTTGCTGAAGAACTTTGACTTTGATTTTGGCTTCTGCATCCCCAGTAGCAGGAACACATGTGAACACATTTATGAATTCCCTCAGCTCTCAGAAGACCTTAGTAAGTATCTCCTTACCCACACTGAGTTGTGTTTTGTTTGTGTGTGTGCATATGCTCATTTTCTCCCTCTACTGTGAAAGAAGTTGTGACTAGGATGAGTGGGACAGGAATAATTAGATACAGGTTCCTGATTTAAGATGTATGTAAGCTTGACTGAATTACAGATTTGTGCTGCAAAGTCTCCTTTGAAAATGAAAGCCTAAGACAACCTGTGCTGTCAAGTCACAGGCTGCAAGAACTCATTAGAGTCACAGGGCTGACGTGCCTGATGCTTAACAGTGTAGCCCAGAAGATAACAAAACCCTGAAAAAGAGTTCTTTTGGTGGCCATGCATCTGTTTTCAGGCCTTGCTTGTCAGGGCTTGAGCCTTCTGCTTTGGAACAGAACTGGCTCTTCTGAGAGGTGTGTTTTTGAGCCTACTGAGATCTCTGCAAATATACATTGCACAGGGCATGTTTGACCTCAGGGGGTGGATAGAGCAGGAGCACGTGGGCCTTTTTGTGGGTGCCTAGGTACGGGAGGAGGTGCAGCGTCTGGACCCTTCCTGTGTACACGTGGGGAGTGCCACTGCTTTTTCATTTGCAGATTGCTGCCTCTCTGCTTACAGCCGTGATTGCTGCTCTGCTGCAGTGGTGGCTCTGGCAGTTTCTAAGTAGTGTCCATCCCCCTTTGCTTGCTTTTGACAGCACTTGTCCTGTGAATAGGAAGAACAGGAAGGGGCAGGTCAGAGCTGCTGAATTGCGCTCAGCAAGCAGTTTGCTTCTCTTTGGTAGGGCAGAGCCTCAGCCTGGTAAATCCAGCAGAGTGGCAGAGCCTTTTTCACTCTGACTTTGTGCTGTCCAGCGGAGTGTGGCAGGCTTGTGAATGTAATTGAGCTTTCTCTTTCACAGTCCGTCTGATGGTTGAAAATCCATATGAGACCCGCTCAGACAGCTTTTACTTTGTGGACAACAAGTTGATTATGCACAACAAGGCCGACTATGCTTACAATGGAGGACAGTAATCATTCTGTGTCCGCTGGATGCTGCGATGCTGTTAACCGTTCCAGATGTCCAGGAGTGGACTGGAGTTGCTATCTCGTGCAACAAGGCTTCTTGCCAAACCTTTTCTCCTTGCACGAGGCTGAAAACATGAAGCAAAGACGACAGCTCGTGAAAGTAAAGGAAATCTCCCTGCAACACTTCTCTGTCCGACACTCAGCATATCCTGCCTCTCTTTCTGTATTTCTGGTTACCTTCAGGTACCTTGGTTAGGTCATGGATCAGAGGCACTGTTAGAAAGTCATTGTTGTTACAGTCTTTATAGTTAGGTTGCACTTTTAGTGCTTCTGATGTTTCACTTTTTGAGTGACTACTCTCTTCCAAGACGTCAGATTGTTTGGGTCAGCTATTTCTTAGCAGGAAAATTTTCCCCCTTCAAGTAGCGAGTGGTGCCTGAAGAGCAGAGCTCTTCTTCAGTTGGATAGATCATCTCTTTAGTGCACAGTGGTTTAGTTTGTATCATGGCTGAGAATGCTTTTTAGGGTGCATCCCAATATTCTCCAGTGGGAAAGATAAAATAAGAGACTAATTCAGCTTCTAAGCAGTGCAGTAATCTTCCTTCTGCCTCCAGGGGCCTGAGCCGCCTCTGAGAAGAGTTTAATCTGTGTCTTGCCAGAGATTTCACCAGAGATACAAGACGGGGGGAAAAAAGGGGCTTTATCCAGGTTGGTCATTGAGTCAGTCTGATAGCATTTCTGTTTGAGCTCTTGTCAGCAAATCGTTAAATTTTAGAGCTCAGGCATCAACCTTAGAGCTGAAGTTAATCTCACTGTATTTACCATTTCTTCTGCTTCCCTTTGTGTAGGAATTTTGGCTCTTGCTACAAAATGCATTGCTTTTTAGATTGACAGCCCATTGTCGGTCTAGCTGGGCTGGAGGGGAGGCGTCGGTCTAGTGGGGCTTAGAGGAAAGAGGGAGAATGTGGAAAATCACTTGAAAAACGTGGGAAGCAGGGCTTCCTAGGCTTCAATCTCTCTATGCTTTTAAACCTGAATGATCTGTCAGAGGTGCTGGAAGTCTCAAGAGACAGTGGTGTTACCAGCTCATTTGCTTTGTTTCAGTTGAGGTACCAGTAGCTAAAAGGTTGCCAGCTCAAATCTCTCAGTGTTACGAGTGAGGTTCTTACAGAGTGAGAATTGGCATGGTTATCTTTTCAGTTGAGCTCCCACTGGTGCTTTGCCTACTTAGCTGCTTGTTTACGGTTCAGGAAGTTCTGCCAAGTTAGTAACCGCCAGACCAGAGGGTGTATTTCACAGCTGCGTCCGGGATCTGGTGATAGGAAATACCATCACGCCATGGGAAGAGGAGACCCATGTCTTCTCAGCATCCGTGCTGGGGCCCAGCTCCTGACCAGGCAAAATCTCAGCTAACAAAACCCTTTTCTGCCTGTTCTTGTGGCTCTCAAGACTGGTGTTTTTCCTGTCCCCTCGCTGGGCTGATCAGTCATGGGAGTTAGGTTGTGTCTAGACCAGAGACCTTTGCTAGTATTAGTTCCACTTGAAACAGTTGAACCGTAACTCTGTGGTGGATACAGATGGTTACTTGTTGTGTTAAGTAAGATTCAGTGTATTTTATGTTTTAGCAGGATTAAGCACAGTGGGCATTACAGCCTGGAGCCTGTTAATGCATAGACAGCAATAGGAAACCACTGCTTTTACCTCACAGATGAACGATGTTAACTTTGGTGTAGAACATCAGCTGGCATCAGGGTAAGCAGTGAGAGTGTGTGGGGTGGCAGCCATGAAAGAATCTCCAGCTCTTGGGAAGATATTTAATTATGATTAACCACAACAAATGACCTGTTCTGGGTGGAGTATTAATCATGAGCAACCACAACAAATGTCTTGGGAATGCAGAGGGGCAAGATCTGCGTGGTTGGAAGATGAAGAACAGTTCTGCTGCCATCATTCCCCTGCAGCATCTCCAAAGGCACTTAGGCAATCTTGTTTAGTTGTTTCAGAATTAGTTGAAACTGCTTGTGAGGTGGAGCTGGAGATGCCTCTTGCAGTGATTGTCTTTGGAAGGCCTCGTGCTGTGCTGGTGAGGTGGGAAACATTTGTTTTGCTGGAAGTTACTTGTGACAAGGCAGAACTGCCTGGAAGTGTGTTTTTCATCGTGAAGTCTTCCGAGATGCTCAGGATAGTGTCTGAAGAGGCTGCTAGTTATTCCCTGGGAAATTTTAGCATATTGAGCTGAATTTGTATGTAGTATAAATCCAGGTGCCTTTAACTGTTACTTTTATCTCATTTTCTGTAGGAAGCAACCTCTTGCTTTTCTTATGAGTGTGATGATTCCCATCTGCTTTCTGTGTCACTGCGTAAAGGTTCTTAAAAGGACGATAGAGCATTGCCAGAGTGAGCAGCAGAAGTTACGGTACGGGCAAACACCAGCTTGTATGAGCTGTCTTTTAGCCCGCGTGCAGCTCCACAGGGCCGGGATGTTTGCCGGGGAGTGGATGCCATCTAGCCGCTGCTTCCCAGAACGCGACTGGGAGCAGGAGAGCACTCTGCCCAATGTAAATGAGGCATTTGATGCCTGTAGGAAAGTGGATTCCTGTCTTTAGTCATTACCTCTGCCAGCAGTGATGAGAAAACAGCACTGAAGCAGTTGCTTTCCTGTTGGTGAATGTGTCAACTATACAGCAATAAGAAAAGGAAAACTGGAGGAAAACTGGAAGACTTGCAGGCAGCCCTAGCACCCCTCAGTTTCTAGCGGAATTTGTTTGCTTTGCCAAATCAGAAGATCTTTGCCCAAAAAGCATGCTGCAGAAAAAAATGTCCCTACAAGAGGGCAAACCAGCATTGAAAAAGTTGATTGTAATCCCAAAAGTCAGGGATTTCCAAACTCCTGTCCCCACTTCATCCGCTTCCCTTTTCTCTGAGATGCTATTGGTAAAGTGTCTCCTCTTTGTGGTGGGGATGATGTCTTTGGTAAACATGGTTTAACAGAGCATTTTCCTTCTGGATTGTGTGCTCTGGTGCTTTAATGATGAGTCAGAACTACTCACACCACTGAGCTAGGAAGAAATTCCAATGGCCTCTCATCTTTGTCAGGGGGATGGTCTGTCCTAGCCAGGTGCTGAACGCAAAGGACACGCTTTCAGTGTTGGTTAAAGTCTGAGCAAGAGAAAAGGTATCTGTGCAGATAGCTTCTCTCAGGTCGGGCGCTGAGTTGGAAAGAGAAGAAGAGTTGGGAATCATACAGTGTTCTGCTGCAACAAAAAAAGGGACCAAACTCATGCTAAATCCTGCCAGTATTTGTCCTCTTAGGACCAGGACCTCTTTTTCACATTTTTGAGATGAGTGCTTTGGATCTGTGCAAACAACCTTCCTGGACAGCTATTTTCATGATTGACTGAGGAATACTTATTGCACCTTATGAAGGAAGGTCATCTCCTGTCGTATAGACTGGGTACTGCTGTCTCTGTCCTCCATTTTTGGTAGGAAATGTCTTCCTTTCTGTGTTTTCCTTAGGATTTTCAATGTCTCTTGCTGCAGAGAAGCAGCAGCCTCCTCTCAGGTGCTCGAGGATGTCTATTCTGCTCATCCAAGGGGTCAGAAAGAGTAAAACAAGTGTTCAGAAGGCAGAAGTGAATGAGGAAGGTGGTGATGGTGAAGCAGTAAGGTCCAAAGGTGGTAACCACTTCTCAGCTCTGTCTTTCATTACATCCTCTTCGGCCGTTTCCCAGTGTGTGACTTCTGCCTGGCTGTCCTGTCACATGGAGCTACCCCCCAGAGCCTTGGCCTGGTATGGGCTGTAATCCTCGGACTCGAACGCTGCCATCTCCCTGGGGCTTTGTGGTGAGGACAAGGCTCTGGGACGGCTGCCTGGTGGAGCCAAACGCCTCTTGCTCTGCAGCCAAGGGGAAAACGAACACCAGCAAACGCCACCTCCGTCTGCCTGGCTCTCCGTGCTGGCACGGGACACGTGTCCGTGTCTCACAGCGTGGCCTTGGGGCTGCGGGCGCCCGGCCCCCTCCGAGCTGCCCGTTTCCGGCGCGGTGCCCGGTGACGATGTGTTTGTATGAACGCGGTTTTGCCACCGGCGATGGGAATAAAGGAACCTCCGTTCGCGCACA